CAATCCACAAAAAAGGCTGCAAGCAGGACCCTGGCAACTACAGGCCTGTCAGCCTGACCTCGGTGCCTGGCAGGGTTATGGAGCAGATCATCCTGAGTGCAATCACACAGCACCTTCAGGATGGACAAGGGATTAGACCCAGCCAGCACGGGTTTAGGAGGGGCAGGTCCTGTCTGACCAACCTGATCTCTTTTTACGATCAGGTGACCCACCTGGTGGATGAGGGGAAGGTTGTGGATGTGGTCTATCTAGACTTCAGCAAGGCCTTTGACACTGTCTCCCAGTGTCTCCCACTCCTGGAAAAGCTGGTAGCCCATGGCTTGGACAAGTGTACCCTCTCCTGGATTAGGAGCTGGCTGGAGGGTCGGGCCCAGAGAGTGCTGGTGAATGGAGCTGCATCCAGCTGGCAGCCGGTCACCAGTGGTGTTCCCAGGGGTCTGTGTTGGGTCCAGTCCTGTTTAACATCTTTATTGATGATTTAGATGAGGGGATTGAGTCCATCATCAGCAAATTTGCTGATGACACCAAACTGGGAGGGAGTGTCGACCTGCTGGAAGGCAGGAGGGCTCTGCAGAGGGATCTGGATAGACTTGAGAGATGGGCTGATTCCAATGGGATGAAGTTCAATAAAGCCAAGTGCAGGGTCCTGCACTTTGGCCACAACACCCCCCTGCAGCGCTACAGGCTGGGCACAGAGTGGCTGGAAAGCAGCCAGGCAGAAAGGGACCTGGGGGTACTAATTGACAGGAAGCTCAACATGAGCCAACCGTGTGCCCAGGTGGCCAAGAAGGCCAATGGGATCTTGTCCTGTATCAAAAATAGCGTGGCCAGCAGGAGCAGGGAAGTGATCCTTCCCCTGTACTCTGCGTTGGTGAGGCCACACCTTGAGTATTGTGTTCAGTTCTGGGCCCCTTAGTTCAGAAAGGATATTGAGGTGCTGGAGCGGGTCCAGAGAAGAGCAACAAGGCTGGTGAAGGGACTGGAGCATAAGTCCTATGGGGAGAGGCTGAGGGAGCTGGGCTTGTTTAGCCTGGAGAAGAGGAGGCTCAGAGGTGACCTCATCACCGTCTATAACTACCTGAAGGGAAGTTCTAGCCAGGTGGGGGTTGGTCTCTTTTCTCAGGCACTCAGCAATAGGACAAGGGGGCACGGGCTTAAGCTCCACCAGGGGAAATTTAAGTTGGATATCAGGAGAAAATTCTTTACAGAGAGAGTAATCAGGCATTGGAATGGGCTGCCCAGAGAGGTGGTGGAATCACCATCCCTGGAGATTTTTAAACGCAGATTGGACGTGGCACTGAGTGCCATGATCTAGTAAATGGACTGGATTTGGACCAAGGGTTGGACTCGATGATCTCGGAGGTCTTTTCCAACCCAATCGATTCTATGATTCTATGATTCTATGAAGTCACTAGCAGGGAGCAAATATCCTTCCTGTTAGCAAGAGATAATATTCATTTTCTCCATCAGCCTCTCGGTGCACAAACAATGTCTGTCACCAGGAACTGATCTTAGAAATCTCTCACAAAGGACATCCTAGATGGTAATGAAGCTTCAGGTATATCTGAACAAATATCACTCCTATAATTGTCAGGTCAGCTCGCTTATGTTTAAATAGCACCGTCCACACACAGAATAGAAATAGAAATTTGCCATGTATCCCTTTCATCTTCCTCATTCTTTTTCTGTTAAAGAGGAGTGAGTTGGTACATCAGGTTTTCTTCTCTTTCCCTTTTTAAGTAATATCACTGCACTTTGTGGAGCACACCTCCTGCTAGGTCACCTAGCAGAGTCAGAGAGCCAAACCACCCAGAGACCAGGGATATTACCAGGAAGATGGCTAAGGGCTCTCACTAAAATAGTCCAACGGGGGTGATGCCAAAAGCACAGATTCCAGAACAGGGACAGACGGCAATAGGGGACTCTCATACAAATGTTACACCACGTCATGGTCTAGCCTTGCACCAAGTGTAAAAGGAGCCATCACAGTTCTTTCTATTAACTACCAAACAGCAGGATCTACATACAGTGAGAAGAGACAGGGAAAGCTCATTTTAAGGTATCCCTGCTGTCTGCATAGAGAGCTGGTAGTTGTGTTGTGAGATTGCAGCGTTCACCACCATGAAAGCCCAGGAGTGTGCTTTGGAAAGGTTTCTAGTCCATCTCAACACACTTGTTTGATGTACATTCAAAATAAAACATATTCTTTTTAAAGGATGTGATAGACCAAATGTGAACACGTGGGGGTATGAGATGCAGCATTCTAGTGAAGTAAAAGTACCAGGGCATCAGACTGGGCATGGGAATTCAATTTTCTGTTAGCAGGCTTTTGGCCTAGATGCACAAGTGCTCTCCCACACACTGCCCACAAGATAACAAAAAATATGGAACATTCCCAAAAGCAGTCTGGATAGAACCACACAGCTCTGGAGGTGAGAAAAGTTCCATAGCATAGACTAGGGCAGCCAAGCCAGACTGACTCAAGGTAGAGGCCAGGTTCTGGCAGGGCTTGATTCACTAGTGTTGATGCAGCTAAAGTCCCCTGGATACCAGGATTTGGTTTTTCCTGGGCTTACCTTTAAAAAAATGAGGCTGAGAAGGGAAAATGTTTTTCTCTGTCACTTCACCATCCAGCCTCTTTACTCACTGCCAATGACACCTGCAACAGCCCCATGGTCTGCTCTACTGTAACATTTGTATTTTCTTGCTGACAAATCACATCCTCTTTGAACGGCACCTACATTCAAAAACACCTTGCAGACACCTCCAGTAGGTTAGAGACACTGCTGGCACACCAACCATAACGCAAAACCTGCAGGGATTAGAGGGAGAGCATCAGCAAGAGACCACCAACCTTAGATGTATCTACAGTCACAATCCCTTCCTTTCCCTTTGCTGTGAGCAGAGAAGTGCCTTGGAGGAACAGGGCTTCCATTACTTTCTTCATCTGAATCCCTTTCATTTGCCTGATTAGCTGCTCTAATCAAAGGGGAAAGAGATGCAGTCAGATATCTTCCCATCTCCTGCACTTCCCCAGGCACTGACTTACACTAGACAATGGGAGCATCTCTGCTCATCACAGCTGGCATTTCAACCCAGAAAAAAGGGTAGTGGGGAAAATGAAAGAGTGGATGACGCACAGAAATGCGTGCACACAGACACAACAGAAGAGCAGACCCTAAGAAGCGACCTGTGGGGAGACACACAGAGGAGCTTTGTTGTTCTTCCATTTGGTGTCAGAACTCGACATGTAAAACAAGAGGGTTTTTAATTTTCATTTTCATTCATGATTGTCTGCTCTACAGAGCCTAATTAAAGTCCCTCTGTTTCCAGACCAGTGAAAATATGCAACAAGTATATAAATGCTTTCTCTACAAGCTGAAAAGCCAAAATTATGTTATTCAATTCTACTTAAGAAACAAGCAAATTTTAAACCTGGAGCAGCCTCAGAAGTAACTTTCAACTACAAAACAAAGCAATGTGAAAACACAGCTTTGAGAAAACATGGCCCTGCTTCTCATTTAAAAAGACATATTTATTGATGGTAAGATATAATGCACTTCAATCTCAGCTGAATAACTCACCTCAAAGGTTTTGAAAGAGACACAAATCTATTTTGAAAATACATTTCCTTCTGTAAGCATAAAAATTTTTCAATTTACACTTTTCAAGTATATCATCTTTTCTGAGCAGAAAAGCACATTAAAAGGTGAATGCAGAAGTCTGCAAACTTGCAACATTCTTTCCCAAGAAGATGTGGGGGTTTTGTGCCATAATAAACATAAACAAAACAAGGCAGCATCTAAGAAAATTAAGAGCTAGGCAAAAATGCAGAGGAAGGTATGACAGCAACAGAACACAATATTAAGCACTGTTTATGTATGAAAGTGGGCTTTGGGAGGGTTTAGTGCTTTGCAGTGTAATGTGCTTAAGTAATTCAGTCCAGAGACAGGAATTTGGGCTACTGGATCCTCCTGCCAGGAAGAGAAATTTCCTCCCTTTTTTGATGTCAGAAAAAATATATAACTGACATCAAGGCATCACCCTGAAAGAGGACCAGTGTATGGATCCTGCTGTGGGTAATTTTTGCCTTCCATGACACCTGGGTTTTTACTGCCTTTCCCTGCAGTGCTGTGCAGAGATCCCCTTCACTGTCTGAGAACAGTTAGATTTACATTTGAGTTGAGAACCATTTTCACTTTCCTCTGACATTTAGTCCTCTCTGCCTGCCTGGTTTTCATGTACTTTACATGCAGTAAGCACTGAATTTCAAAGCAAGTGGCGGCCCCGTGGCGGGGGCTTCCCGTGAAGAGGGTTCCTGTGAAGAGGGATCCGCAGGGCTGGGCAGCCCCCGGCCCACACTGGCAGATTGCAGGGATAAAACTGAGGCAGGTTTCCGCCTACAGGATTCACCTGCTTACAGGTTGCTCTAGGCTAGGATTTTACCATGTACATATGGCCTTACAACTTCAGCAGCTCCCGTTGTAGTTGATATCTGATGATAAGCTGCTGGGAATGGCTTTGGCACCTCCCCAGCCATTTCCTGAGGGAAGAGGTGAAAAAACTGCACTGTGGCAGCTTCCACAGCAGTGTAGGCACAGCGCTAACTGGGACATGCTGTTGCACAACAGATCCCATCTCTTCCGATAAGGACGGGAGGTGGGGTGCCTATGGCATCCTTAACCTCCTCTGCTAAACCCATCCCTGCATTTACTTATTACTAATGCCCAGCAGTCCACTGTAATATTAGAGGTGGTGTTTTGGGAAGGAGTATGTGAGAGGATAAGATACTGACACAAACGTTTGGAAATATTTGTTTCTGCATTGTACAGGCGAACCTGAACCCCCATGCTCTTATGTCTGCTGGTGCAAATGTACCAGGTGGGACTGGGAGCTGTGGTTTACTCACCTGTCATTTGCCCCCAGTGACATGGGGCAAATGGTCCCCTGTGGACCATTTGTCCCTAAACTATTTTTTCAGTTTGCAGAGACTTGTTGAGGAACACAGTAAACATGAAACTTAACCACTAGGCCGTATTCAGCTCCCCAGAGCAAATATTCCCAAGTATTTGGCACGTGAGTATGAAGACAAATAACTTTTTGAAAGCAAAGAGGGTGAATAAGAGCCCTGAAACACAGTGACAAGCACTGAGGTGTCCTCAGACAGGTCCCTATTCCTCCATCTCTCTGTCCTTCCATCCTGCCTTCCCTCCATCCCTCCTCTCACTGTTTCTCTGAGGATGAATTGGACCTCCCGTGCACCATGACTTCTTTTTTCAGCAGATCCAATCCTTTGGCACTTCTTCCGTGTAGCCATTCAGGAGCCATGACTTTGCTGGCTCTGTTCTGGCCTCCAGTGAGCACGACATCTGAGAGCAAAGCCTGCACAGTTTTGGTAAATTTAGCTTCTAATCATGCTGTGGCTTGATTCCCTGTTTGCAAAATGAGCATATTAATCCTTCCTTTATCCCACTGTTTATCAGCCTTGACTCACAAGATTGTAAACTTTCTATGGCAGGGCAGTCTATTAGGATGTGTGCTTGGTTCAACAGAGCCTTGAAACCCCTAGGAGTTTCTAAATGCTGCTGTTCATGTATTACCATATTATTCATCCTGATTAATTCCTGGGTTGTATCTTTAAGCAAAGATAGCTATTTCCCAAACCTTAACTTCAGAGTCCACAAGCCAGATTTATCCCTGCTGTCGTGCCATTAAGTTACATTACTGTTAATAATTCCTCTCTCTGAACGCACTGGCTTGTACTTTCCCATTTTCTGCTTCTTCTACAAGTGATAAAGGATTGCTTTGAGGAATTTTCATTGCAAAAGAAATCAATTCTCAGCTTGCAAGGGAAGATAGCACGGGCCATATAAGGTGATCGCATACCACCAGCATTCCCTTAACAAGAGAATATTTCTTCTTGCAAGCTGTACATCTGGATGCCAGCTTTCCAAATGCTGGGGTTGATCTATCAAACACTGCAAAACAATCTTTCTTTAAAATGAATGATGATGCAAATTGTTTTCAGAAAAGAAATATGTCAAAAAAAAGGAATATAAATTACAGACTGGACATGTTGGCAGAGGAGGAATGCTATGTGGTTTATATCAAGCTAATCCACTGCTGAAACTTTCCCTGATTTATGTTGAAATGGCAAGCCCAGACTAAAGGTAAAAGGGGCACATTGCCAACACAGACCCTGTTTCTGCAGAGGCTCTGCACATGCCTAACTCTCTGTGTGCTCCTAGGCTGCTTGGAGGAAGAGCTGCTTAATCCACCACCACCTCAGAAGCGCTGATGTTCCTCCAAGGCTGTGGGTGCTCACAAGAAGCCAGCCAAGCAAAAGCTGCTCAGCTGGATGCCCAGTTCCAGCAGCTAGGAGGAGGAGTTTAGTGAGCGATGGCATCTCCTCCATACCTGGCAGGCCTGGCTCCAAGATCAGCCTTGCTCTCAACCACCAGGGGCTAATGCAGGAAGGGAGGGCCGTCACGGAGGAGGCCCCGTTAGTCCCAGCATCACCACTACAGCACTGGCAACTCCCAGCCACGGGGCTCAGCTCCAGCCCCAGGGCTCAGCTTCAGCATGTTCACCCAGTGAACCTTCAGTCCCTGTGATAGGAAGATAGCAAAGACTCTTCACTTACTGTAATTATTGACAGTATGCAGTGCACAGCTGAGACCCCTTTCTATTTAACCACAGGTGTTCTTACTTGGGGGACATTTAATACTGTCTGTTACATGCAAAAATTCGATTGCATGAAGGAACATTGAAACTGCAACGTAAGGCACTCACAAGCTGAGAAATGCCAGAAATAAGATTGCTAATGTGTCCTTTATTTAGTCTATGTTTGTATATGCACTTGATAAGGTCTTTAATTACACGATCTCAAGTTTGCAGTTGTATTGTAAAACAAACACAGGGAAGCCCAAATCAAGCTGTACAACTTCAAACACGGTTTTTGCTAACTTCCCGGTTCTTAGTGTGAGCAGTAGATTATAGACGAGCACTGTTGTTCGTAAAACGCGCATTTGCCAAACATGTTGTGTTTCTCATACAGTTCTGCTTTGCAGTACCTTTGCTGATATAATGGTAACCAAAGCTATTAGTACTGCTGGGAAGAGCCATCAGAAGCCACATGTGAATTGGTCAGTCGCTATTACAGGCTGAGAGAGGTTCCAGCTAATTGATGAGACAAAGTAATTTCTGTGATTGAAAGTCTATACTAGAGATAAAGCACCGCACAATTATCAGGTGCAGCTTTGATTTTTTTAATTACTATACTAACTTTGGAGGGGTGGGGGGGAAGTATTTATCCCCCATAAGGCATAGAAAACCAAAGAGTATACTTGGCAGAGACACACTGTATTTGTCTGGGATTAAAAACAGGACATATCTGCTGGTAGACAGCTATCCAGGGAGGTATTTTCCTCCTGCTTCACTGTTTCTCTTGGCAGCACAGTGTGCTAACTTTAGAAGTGTCTGAATGCCTTTGCTAAACTATTAGCACGAAATAAGCTCCTTTGTGTTTCACCCATTCATGCTTCTTAATTTATGTTCTGGCATCACTTTTCCTTGTATTGTGCAAGTCAAGAGCCTGCATGTGGGACCAAAGTCTGTTTGTGCACAGGCGACGATCAGGATAAGTGCTCTTGAAGTCGATACAACTGCACCGGAGAGCCAGACCCCACTGTGTCTCTTATTTTCAATCCAATTCACACATGCCTACCTTGAAGTCTTGCTCAGAAAGTAACAGTGTACCCTCCTCTACCTTGAAGTCGATGACAGGCTGATGTCATGGGGCCAAAGCTGTGCATGGGGCCAAAGCTGTGCTCCCCATGGTGTGCAGGTCTGGACTCCTGGTTTGCCCCATGCTGGGAGAGCCAGAGGCCACCATGAAGTTCATCATCAGGGCCAAAACAGACTTATAGTGAAGAGATCCTTCTTCTTTTGATTTGTGTCTGTGTTACAGCAATGTGTTTTATTGCCTGGGAAAGAGACAATAAAAAAAAAATATCTGCAGCCATAAATAATGTGAAACAGGATATTCTAGAACAATAATACAAAGCACTGCATGAAGTGAGGACCTTTCCCTTAAAACACCGCACACTGCAAGCTCCCTGGGGCATCAAACTCCCTTCTTTCATGTTCTTTATGGAACCAAGAGAATTGTTGGTGCTTGACCTGTCAAGAAAATATATATTTTATAAAGGGTGATACAGAGCCAAGAAGTCTAATGCTATGAAGCTTGGCTGACTGACACGGTTTGCAGAAGCAGCTGCAGCCCAAGAAGTTTAAAACTTCACTTTTCCAAGCCTAGAGTAATTCAGCAGAAGTGCTTGGGGAACATTTACTTCTGGGGCAGAGGGGTGCTCTTTAACTCCACTGAAGACAGCTGCAAGGATTATCCCTAGGGCAGGCTGCTGAATGCTGGGATGGGAATTTGCCTGGAAGTTGCAGGTGCTGTAACAGGCATGGCCAAACCCCATGAAAACAGGCTGTTGTTGCCTGTCTGAGGTGAAGAGCCCCTTTAAATAGGAGCCTCCGACTTCCTTTGCTCAACTCACCCTTGCACAAACCAAGCTGCAGCTCTACCACTCTGGAGGTCAGAGTTGGATATGGGGGCTTAGTGTTGAGGCTGCCTGGCCTTGCTGCCTCCACATCCCCAAGGACAGGAAGGGGGCACCAAAGCACCTGAGTTTTGGCATCCTCAGAGCTGAGCCCTGACACTCTGTGGCCTTTCCTCTCGTGCATGTGTCCTAAGGCTGCACAGCTACCAAAAAACTGCATGCTGAAAACACACTCCTCCAATCCTGACTTCTTGAGGACTTTTTCTCAAATTTCAATCCCTAGAAATAGCAATGTTTCATCCTTAACTGTGCCTTGTTCTACCCCCTTCACAAAACAATGCTCCTCCAACATCAGAGAAAAGCTGCAGCTTCAAAGCAAAGCTCAACTCTCACAGGCAGCCCAGCCCACAGATGACTGGTAAAGAGAGAAAGAAGGCTGGAAAGCAAGAGGAAAAGATCTCCCCTGCAAGCACCCAGGGTCTTGTTTCAGCCTTCCAACACACAGGCCAACACAAAGACAGGATGACTGCAAATTGGCAGGTAAAAGTTAAATAAAGGTACCTGCCAACTGGAGGGTGAACGTGATGCTGAGAAAACGTGGATAAGTGTAACATATAAAACAGTCCAAAGAAAAACAAAATAAGCATCTACATTATCTCTTTTTGAACTATTTATAGCTGGGCCTAATCACGGTACTATTAAGGTCAATGGACAGATTCCATGTAGCCAGGGCTGAAGTTGGGTTTGGCTCCATATCTTTGGCTCCATAGCTTTGTTCTGGGATGCTAACAAGTACATTTCATGGCTAAGAGGGCTCGAAGCACCACTGCTGCCTCTCAGCTACACAGTTCAGAACAAGGAACAGGCTCAACAGCCCTGGGGGAGAAAGGCAGCTCTGTCTGCTGAAGGAACACATCATTGCTTGATTTAGATGCAAACCCTCTAATTTATGCAAACAGACATACTTGTACACAGACAAACACGCTGGGTTTTCATCCCAGCGTATGGATGAGTGGGCTAATGAAACAAGATGACATATCTTTCTCTTACACACACGCAGTCACCTACACAAAACTGTGCTAAAAACATTTTGTAAAGGCAGCAGTCAGGCACACTGAATAGGGAATGGCAGAATTAAGACTGCCTGTTCATTTTGATACAGTTTTAAGGATTAAAGTTAAGCAATAATAGTATTGCCTTCAGTGCTACGCTAACAATTCCTGCTCTATTCCTTTTGAGAAAAACACATCTTGTATTAAAAATATCTTCTTTTTTTTTTTTTTTTTTCCCATACAAAGTCTTGGGGGAAAAAACAGGAAACAAAACCCAAGTTTTTATTTGTAAAAGTTTCTGGAGAGTTTTCTCAGGAAAAAAAACAAAAGCAAAACCACAGAGATCAGGAAAGGTCAGAGTAAGAGCTGCCCAAACACAGAGTTGCTTTTGATTTACTCATGTGCCCATCTCCAAATAAAGTGAACCAAAACTGCTCAGCCAGGCCTGGTTTTTGAGTGACTAATTCTGCAACCTCAGCGACAATCTCTTAGAAGAAGACATTTACATATTTAAATTCCAGGGGGAGATTTGCAAGTTCGTTTTTAGAAAAGGAAGATGAATGCTGTGCTGGGGTGGTTCCCCCACCACTGGCGGTGTCTGAGTCACTGGCAGTGGTTCAGGCTGCCACCCCCCATCTGAAGAACAGCCTGAAGGAGGAGACACAGTCTGGTGACTAAGCTCGCATGTACTCTCCTTCACAACTATTCCACACCTGAGCTCTTCTGTTCTTTCCCCTCAAAACTGTCCTATTCCAGGCCTGTCATATCATTTGTCAGCACACTGAAGTCTCGGTCTCCTCATCCTGCCAGCCCTATCCCCATTTCTCTGTTCCCACTCCTCATCTCATTGCTCAGCCATTCTTAGTTCCCCATGTCCGGTCTCTTTGTTATGCATTTCCAGTCCTCCCTTATTTTCTACTCTTTCTATCCCTCATGTCTCACCTTCATCCCATTCATCTCCCTCTCCTAATTTCTTTTCTCTTCTCTTTCAATTCAGTTCAGGCAGCAACATCTGTACTGCCTGGGCTCAGCAGGATTCAGGAACATTGTGAGGCCAAGCCTTGTGGCCTCAGGCATGGCAGTGCTCTTCCATCACCAGGATGGTCCTGAATATCCCTGCACTGGATCTGACTCCGAACAGATACATCATTTGGGGTCCAAATTGATAACTTCGAGTCTCTGTTGAGCATGTGAAAAACAGAATTTTTCCTAAAACTTGCCACTGAGGCAGATTTAAGCAAATAATGAAATGGGAGGGAAAGAGTAACAATGCATGCTGGACATGGGATCAACCTGTGCCAAGCATACCCTTACCATTCAAAAGCAGTGACCTGCCCATCTTTGGTACAGGCAAACAAATAATTTAGAATCTTGGTCACCTCAGAAATGATTCGACAGTAAGCTTTTTGCATCTCTGTAGCATGTCTTAACCAAGACTTTTGGACATGGTTTTTAAGCCTCAGACAATTCTGTTCTCCCAAAGGGCAGGAGAATGACAGATAAACAGACGGAGAATGATGAGCAAGCCATTTATGCACCCACGACAGCCCACCAGCTCCTCAGGTGTCCTGCAGGGCACCCTCTAGGCAGCTCCCCAAAGGTGGAATCTTTCTAGATTACACTTTAACAGTCACCACAAATAGAAGGTTTGCTCTGTGCTTATCACCACACAATTAAT